ATACACACACACATTTTCTTTATCCAGTCTCCAGTTCATGGGCAATTGGCAAGTTTTAGCTATTACAAACTGTGCCACTATAAACATGGGTGCACATATATCACTGTTCTATGATTTTTAAAAATTCATTTAGGAAGATATCCAGCAGAGAAATGGCTTAGTCAAATGGAACTTCTAATCCTAGTTTTTTGAGGTATCTCCATATTGATTTCAACAGTGGTTGCACCAGTCTGCACTCCTACCAACAATGGAGAAGAGTTCCTTTTCCCCCACAACCCTACCAATATTTGTTATTGGTTTATATTTTGATAAAAAACATTCTTTCTGGGGTGAGGTGGAATCTCAGTGTTGTTTTCATCTGCATCTCTCGAATGACCAGTGATGCAGAACATTTTCTCATATGTTTATTTTCTGGTTTTACTTTTTTGTCTGAGAAATGTCTGTTTGTTTCAGATGCCCGCTTATGAATTGGGTTTATATTTTTGGAGGGTCTGATTTTTTGAGTCCTTTATATATTCTAAATAGTAGACCTTTGTCTGAGGAGCAGCTGGAAAGAATGTTTTCCCACGTTTTAAGTTGTCTCTTAGCTCTGTTGGTAGTTTCTATTGCAGTGCAGAAGCTTTTTAATAAGATGAGAGCCCAGACTGAAGTGGGCTCAGGCTGGGCTCAGAGCTGGTGGGTGAGAGCCTATGTGCCGTGGAGTCCCCCAGCTCCCTCTGGGCCATGGTGCTGATCCTCAGGTGCTGGCCTGGCTGATGCCTGCTTGTGTCAGCACTGGGGATAATGCCACCTCCTCAAAATGTCAGGATGAATTCAGTTAATTTCAAAAACATTCTTAAATGGGTCTCACCTGCTTTTACCAAGGGGAACCCTACTTTCACAGCTCAGTATGACAGTTATAAGAAATTCCAAGAAGTATGCAAAAGTACTGCCTCCATGGAATGTGATTTCTCAAGTACGGTGACCACACCGTGAGAATCAGGGCAGAGTTTGCAGAGGAGCATTTGGACCGGGTAAACATCACTTTCTGTCCTGTGGATGACACTGTTATTGGACCTCCTGTAGTACATGTAGAAGCACTTGCAGATTCTTTACAGATGCATTTCTTAGCCCCTCAAATTGAGAATGAACCCTGCACATGGCTCATGTGGAAGATTTATGACTTCTGCAAAAATGGAACTGATAAAAAGTTTGAGGTCACTGTTCAGTACAACTTTGAAATCGTCCAGAACCTAGAACCATGGACAACTTACTTCATTCAAGTTCAAGGGTTTCTTCCTGATCAGAACAAAACTGGGGAATGAAGTGCACCTGTGTGTGATCAGCCAGGCAAGGATGACACAACCTCCTCCTGGCTGGCGGCCTTTATCCTCATAGTCTCTGTCTTTGTGGTTTTTCTCATGCTCCTGGGATGCTTTGCCTTGCTGTGGTATATCTATAAGAAGACCAAGTATGCATTCTCACCCAGGAGTTCTCTTCCACAGCACCTGAAAGAGTTTTTGGGCCACCCACATCATGGCACATTTCTGGTTTTCTCCTTCCCACTCTCCTGTGAGAGTGATGTTTTTGACAAACTAAATGTCATTACAGAATCCTCTGAAAGCAGCAAGCAGAATCCTGATGACAGTTGCAGCCTTGAGGCCCCATCTGGACTAGGACCCCCAGAGTTATTTTCCAAGGAGGAAATCTACTCAGCAGGACCCAGCGACACTGCTATCCCTGAGTCTCCCTCAGAGGGAGATCAGCAGGACAACCTGAGCAAACACCAAATCTACAACTCTCAGACAGTGGACTTGTCCAAGCAACCAGAGGACTAAGCTGTAGCCAGGTGTGGTGGTGATACATGCCTATATTCCTAGCACTGGGGAAGCTGAGGCAGGAGAATATCCACAAGTTCACTGCCACCCTGGGTTATGTGGCGAGTTCAAGGCCAACCTGAACTATATTGCAAGACTCTGTCTCAAAAAGCCAAAACCAAAAGTAACAAAGACAAACTCCATTCTGAGGACTCACCACTTTACAAAGACTAATGATTAAAAAACAAAAGTGTATTTTTCAGCCTTTTGCACTCATTCCAATAAGGATCAGATTTTAACTGTGAGAAACAAATATTTATGAAGAATAAAAAGTAGAGATGATGGGCCTGGGATTTAGCTCAGTGGTTCCCCCACCTGCCTCACAAGTACAAGGTCCCGAGATAGATCCCCGGTACAAAAAAAAAAAAAAAATGGAGATGCTATAAAATCCTTCCACAGTGTCAACAGACCAACCAGAAAAACCAAGTCCAAAATGGCTAGCACCAGGCTGGACAGATGGAGACTAGACCCTCAGGAGACCCACATGTGTTTCATGTATGGCTCAGCTCTGTCCGAGCTTGAATCTCTGTCTCAGCTGTGTTTGTGTTAGCTTTCTGTTGCTGTGATGAAATACCTAACATAAACATCTTAAAAGGAGAGAAAAAAAGAGATGAGATCCCAGTTGGTGGATCTTCGTGCTAGTTCCCATGCTATGGAGGATTTGTTCATAAAGTCTTTTCCTATGCCAATGTTTTCAAGAGTTCTGCCTAACTTAAACCTTCCAGCAAGTTTAGTGTTTCTGTTTTAATATTTAGATCTTTAATCCACTTGGATTTTAGTACATGGTGAAAGATAGGGGTCTAGTTTTAATCTTTGGCAGGTTGAAATCTAGTTTTTCCAACATCATTTATTAAAGAGGCTATCTTTCCTCCAGTAAGGATGGTTGGCTCCTTTATCAAAGACAAGGTAGCTGAGTATGTCTGAAGTTGTTTCTGCATCTTCTAATCCATTGCACTGATCCTCAGGTCTTTTTCTTGGTCAGTGCCATGCTGTTTTTATCACAGTGTGGCTTTGTAGTATAGTTTCAAGTTGGGGATTGTGATACCCCTTGTCATGTGTCTGTTGCCTAGAATGGCTTTTGCTATTTATTCTAGGTCTCTTCTGGTTCCAAGTGAATTTTTGGATTGTTTTCTTTAGTTCTGTGAAATATACCTTTTGAATTTCAATCAGGATTACATTGAATCTGCATAGCAGTTTTGTTACTATGGCCATTTTCACTATGTTGATTCTTCCTACCCAGGAGCAAAGGATATCTTTCCATTTTCTTATATCCTCTTTGATATCTTTTTTCAGAGTGCTGTAGTTCTCAATGTAGAGGGTTTTTTGTTTTCTTTGTTAGATTGATTCCTAGATAAATCATTTTTTTGGATGTTTTTGTGTAAGTATTGTTTTCCTAATTTCTCTCTCATTGAGTCTGTCATTTATGTACAAGAAGGCTATTGATTTTTGAGTTTTTGCCTTGTATCCAGCTACTCTACTGAATCTATCAATTAAGTCTAGAAGTCCTTTGGCAGAGCTTTCTTCTTGGGTCTTCTATGTAGATTGTCATACGACAGTTTAACTTCTTCGTTTCCTATCTTTATTCATTTTATTTCTTTCTCATGTCTAACTGGTAGCTAATGCTTCCAGAGCTATATTGAACAAGAGTGGTGATAGTGAACATACTTTGTCTTGTTCCTGATTTTAGCGTGAAGGTTTTCAGTTTTTGGCCATTTAATATAATATTGGCTGTTGGTTTTTCATAGATAGCCTTTGAAAAGTTGAGATAAAACTATCTATTCCAATTTTCTGCAGGTTTTTAAAAATCATGAATGGGTGTTGAATTTTGCCAAATGCCTTTTTTGCATCTATAGTGATGATCATATGGTCTTTGTCCTTGACTCTGTTAATACAGTGCATTATATTACATTTATTGATTTATGTATGTTGAAATATCTTTGCTTCCCTGGAATAAATCTGACTTGGTCAGGGTGTATGATCTTCTTGATGACCTTCTGTATTCTGTCTGCCAGTATCTTATTGAGGATTTTTGCATCTATGTTCATTAAGAAGACTGGCCTGTAGTTTTCTTTTTTGGTTGGGTCTTTCCCTTGGTTTGGGAAACAAAGTAACACTTGCTTCTAGGAATGAATTTGGAAGTATTGCTTCCCTTCCAATTTCATTGAAAAGTTTAAAGAATAGTGGCATTAGTTCTTCTCTAAATGTTTTGTAGAATTCAGCAATGAAGCCATCAGGACCTGGGCTTTTCTTTGTTGGTAAATTTTGAATTATGTATTCAATTTCACTGATTATAATTGGGGTATTTAGAATTTTTTAATCTTTTTTGTTGAACTTTGGTAATTCGTAAGTATCAAGAAATCTGTCCATTTCTTCTGTATTCCTGTATGTTGTACTGGCATTATCATTAAACTGCAAAAACTCTCTAATTTCTGATAATACATATGGGATAACTTCAGTTACTTTGCCATTTCTTAAGAATCTTGCTTGAGCATGTTGAAGTGTTGACTGTGGAATTGAGAAAGAAGGATACAATGAAGACATGGAAATAGACAGGGATAATAGCTGGAGTCATGCCTCAGTGGAGGGCAAAAGGGAAGACTTCCTTCCTTGTCCTGTGGGACAGCAGGAAGAAGAGAGCATTAGATGAATACCAACTAATTTTGACAGTTTAAGAATGGTGGAGGACAAAATTGAGCATTTCCATCTGAAAAGTCTTTTTCTATATGAAATGAGAGAGGAAAGGTAGGAGATACTGATCAGAAGCAAGATGAAGTAGAAGAATATTTGAAATTGTTGTAAGCTTTGAATAAGCTAATTAGGAAACCAAAAATTTCTGTAGCAGCAGTAAGGATCGAATCAAGATTGCTCACCATGAGTCACCCATGTACAATAGTCAGTCAAATTGTATCTTTCTATGGGGCAAAATTGTATATTTTTCCAGCCAGGCTTAGCCTTAGGCAGGCAGAGAGAAAAAAATTGATTATCGAAAGTGGAAACAAGCCTCTTGGCTCTTCCTTGTAATAGAAAAGTAGGTGAGCTAAGAGTGGACAGACCTATGTTCATGTCTCAGTTTCATCATCATTTGTATGATATCAGGGAAATAATATGACCTTTCTATATCATCTATTCTACTGGAAAAGGCCTGTATGTGAATGAAAAGAAAAAAAGGTAGAGATTAGCAAAAGCCATATGTAGGTCATGAAAATGTCAAAACTAAAGAAAATACAAAAGAGTTATATCATTGGGTCGTTAAAACAAAATGCAAGGAAAATTTTAAAACATTTGTAACACATACTACAAAGGCCTTAAGATACAAAGGTATTTTACAAATCAATAACAAAGTAGAAAATTGGCCATTTGAATGAGTAGTCAACTAACAGAAGAAATTCCAAAGAGCCAATAAACATAAAAATAATGTATAACCTCAATGATACATAAATTAAAATAAAAACAAGCTACAATTATGTTTTTCCAACTATCAGATTGACAAAAGTTAAAACAAACCAATAAAAATTAGTGCTGATGAAAGTGTGAGGACCCAAGCATTCTCATCCACTGTTGGTGAGGATGCAAATGGGCACAGGAATTCTGTTAGCGCAGGAATTCTATTTCTAGAAATTTATCCTACAGATATACTCAGGCAAATGCACAAAGATTTGTGAAAAGATATTATATCTACTTGAACTTCAAAGAAAGTTGCTGACATCAGTCCATTTTTTCTCAAAATACTTCAGCATGCATATTATTTATTGGAGTTCCATATTTATGTATTTATGTTTTCTTTTGTGATAAAAGGAACATGCAATTAATCACACAGATCTAAAGTGAACAATTCAATGAGTTTTGACAAGTAGTTATACTCTTTTAGTCTCAAGACATAGAACATTATCATCAGCCCAGAAACTTCCCATATGTCTAGCCCTACCGTACACCATAGTGTAACTCTGAAAATATTTAAATGAAATTCTAATTTTAGAATAGTTTTAAATTTACAAAAATCTTCAAAGGTAGTAACAGAGTCACTATATATGCCTCATCTAGTTCTCTCTATGTTTGATATCTTATGCTGCTATGGTACATTTGTTAGAACCAATGAATTACTACTGATATATCAATAACTGCTGTCCATACTGTTTGAGATGCCTCCTTCCTATGCCAGGATGCCAGAATACTATTGTATAATTAATTGTCATGTCTCCTTAGCCTTCTTTTGGCTGTGGCAATTTTTCAGATTTTCCTTGATTTTTTATGATCTTCACAACTTTGAGGCGTACCATTCAAGGTATTTTTCAGACTGTCTCTCAGATAAGGCTTGTCTGATGCTTTTCTTTTCATGAGTAGATTGTAGATTTGTGACTTTTTATTAATAAATGAAACCTATTTTATTACTTAAAGTGTTAATGATAAAAAATTTCAGCACAGCTGTTCCATTTTAAAAAATGAAAGTACATACTATATTTATAGCTCAATAAACAGATAAACCTATTTTTGAATTACATAACAATTGAGCATGGCACAGTACATCTTATGAAGACCCATAGATGAAAGAACTACTGCTTTAAAGTTAGTGATTATGAAACAAATACTCATTTAGAGTATCAGCATCTTTTTTCTTCCTTTACAATCAGGTGCTCCATCCATTTTAAACTTCTGTGTTGAAGGCTTTTGTCCTTGCTTCTTTTTCTCTGCCTTCTTGTTCTCTTCTAGTTCCATGTTTTCCCTTTCAATCAATGTAATTAAGGTATTACAATCCACAAATCTCCTCAGTTTAGACTTGACTGGTTTCTTAAGTCCAGAACTGCTATGGAGCTCCAGTTTTGTCACTTTTAAATATTTATAATAACCATATCTAGCTTTTAGAGTCAGGCTCAACAAAAATACATAAATTTAAAGGCATGAAAGGTAGTGAGAAGGCTGACAATAAGAAGCATGTCTACTTTGAGCAACTTGGAGAAAATACA